ACTCTGGACAGAAGACCTAACAGCCCTTATCCTTTTAGGGTTTTTCATACCTCACTGGGGTCTACCTTATGCACAGAGTCCGAACTCAAAAGCAATTTTACACTTGCATATGTTCCCTCGTCAGAGCTACATTCGTATGAAGTGTGAATTTGCTCATCGAAACTTCATTTCTTTATGAAAAATCGTCTGACTACGAGAAACTCACTTGAAGGTTCAATTTCAAACGTCTAAAAGCTGAACTATCCAAAGTAGATCACCAAAGTGCAATTCAGAAAAAGCATATTTGTGAAGTAAACAAGACTGTGGAAGTAGTGGAACTAAATAACTGGCGATAAGATCCATAACAATAATCAAATGATTAGATTTACAATACAAAAATTTATTCACAGTAGTCATCCTTCAAAACAATGCGAAATAATCTAGAATAATCACGAATGTCTAAGATTTACAGTATTTATTATAGAGAAGAGCATCTTGTTCAAATCGAAAACATCATAATTATCATTTTTATAATCTTTCTCATCTTTAATATTATCCATTAAACTTTTGAAATTGATCAGTACGTCATTAATTTGAACACTTTTCGTGGGGTTATATCATCGATTCCACTATGTTTGTTTAGTTATTCTTTCGTTGTTATAGGAACTGATCTGAGCATATACTTCTCTGCCTAGTTGAATAATCAGAGTATTAGAATTAGAATGCAGCTATAGGAAACCTATTGTACAAATAGTGAATTTTCGCATTTACTTTTCTGCTCGAAAGATATCAAAGTTTCCATCGAAAAATTTTACTTATACTCTAAGCGCGAGATTTCTACCTGTTGTGATACCAAATATTGAAAGCAAAACATATCAACTTACTAATATTTGATACAGATATACGTTTTCTTTTGACTTTGTAAAAATAAGCTAGCAATTTATAACAGAGTGAAAGAAAGCCTTCTTCCCTTATTAACTCGAATTAGAAATCTCATATATAAAATTGTTTTCTGTATAAGACCATGAAGTTGAGGTTCAGACAAAAAAGTCTTATCAGAATTGTCTCTGGTAATTATCTATTCTGATAATGACGTATTTTTGTTTTCTATACTGTAGATGGGCTAAGTTTATAATTAAGCTTTGAAAGTTTCATTTTTTGGTATGAAAAAGTTTTAGGTCTTGTACAATGAAACCAATGTCTAAGTTTCCGCGATAAATTGTTTTTTAATTTTGCGAATGTATGATTTATTCAAAGATTATTCGAAAACGTTGCTCAACTACGAATAATATAAACGTATTTGAATCTAAACCGTCTGAAAACGAATGGAAATAGGCATACCTGATAATACGAAGTGTTTGATGTAAAACTCAGCGCTTGATTTAATCGACCTGGTACCATACTGACATTGACACCTGTACCATTGATTCCATTTGGACCAGAATCAATATATGATCCATTGAATGAGTGCCACGTGACTAGAGTAGCATCATCAAGTAATTCACTAGCATCTTTTGCTCGCGTGATCAAATAAACTTGATCTATATAACTAAATAAACAGAACGATGATTGGAAAATTCAGCATTTCCGTTAGTTTTCAATCGATAAGATAAAACTGTACATATTATAAACAGTAATTTAGAATACGGAGTTATTTTTCGTAGATGAATAATGAAGTTACACTCAGGGGAATACTGCGAAGAAGAGCGATGCTTCTTATATATCCATAGGTTATGTGGTACTGAAAGGGATGGAGTAATTATTCCTGAAATTCGTAGCTGTTCGAAAGAGGTTAGTACGATTTTGTTGAATCCACATTAGTTTTCAAATTGGGAATTGTAGATATCTCGTGTAACAAGATTATACCATCACTCTTAAAATATTTCAAAATGAATTGTGAAGATCTTTAATAATGAACTGAATCACAAAATAGATTCAGCTTATCAAAATTCTTGTATTTTTTAGTTTATCTTTTTCACGTACCCGTTGAAAGAATCATATGCTCCGCTGGAATCTGCCGCTCCAATAGCTATTGGTCCACTCGTAATAACTAAGGGTCCCGCTGAAGAATGTAAGCCAACTTTAACTCCGTTTAAGTAGAGTATCTGTTGTCGTAAGGGGTAATTATAAACAAAGGCAACATGATACCAAGTATTGATTGCGATATTAGTTGTGCTATTAACATCATTAGCATAAAAGCCCATATACATACGATAGCTCCGTATAACGCAGTGTAAATTGAGATTTATCGAAAGTTGTTGTGATTGAGAAAACAAACCATACTCACCAATTGCTAATGCAGTTGCATATATCCACATTTCAATTGTAAAGCTTGTATAAGTCAAACTAAAATAGTTCGAGATGCTCACGTATTGGGTTGTGCTTCGATTCACGCTCAAAGCAGAACCATAGCCAGTGATTCCTGGTGAAACAAAGGTAGGTGCATGAACACCCATTCCATTGAAATATGAATAACCATCAAGAAAATTGCCATCAAAGGACCAGAAACTTGAGCGAACAGAAACGGCCGCTGTTGTAGCTTAAAAAGACAATTGGAATTAGATCCTAATAATCACCTGCTCCCGACGAGATTGCCTACTTTTTGTTGTGCTACGGATAAATAATGTTGTTGTAGAGGTACTAGAACTTCTAGTTGAAGAACTAGTAAGTATTGCTCTTATAGCACTACTAGTGATAGTTGTGGAACTAAGAAGTGCTGTTGTCATGGTATTACTAATTGTTGCTATTGTATAAGAGAAGTAAGTTATACTTTTTACATATAACGGTATTGAATGAATGTTTGCCTAGTATTTTTCACCTGATTTTAGAACAAAATGTATGCCAAAAATCTATACTAATTGGTAGTGAACCAGTTATTTTTCAAGTTTCTTTAAACTAAACTGCTAGAGAGGAGAAAAAGTATTCAGTCGATAAGTGTTAGAAGTCTTCAAAACATACAATTACTCTCACTGCTTCTCTCTCATTTCAATCAGATCAGTCTGATTTGGAAGAAAATTTTACAATCAAGCAATGCAACGCAGTTTTCATCGAGAAGAGAAGGCATAAGTTTTCAGTTCAGAGGATTGTTTTCAAGATGAAAATCTAAAAACAGTATGACTTTTACTACGTGCACTGTTCAACCTATCAATGTATAAGTATTACCTAAAAAGTCTAAAATCAGACTGACTCATATAATTTACAAGTTTAGTCAAAACAATAAAATTTAATCAGTGAGTTAGAAATACAGATACTATTTCGAAGATAGAATCAAACATTAATGTTCTTGTTCATCTTATTATGCATAGAGCATAAGAATCGCTGCGATTTCTTAGCAAAGCATTGCATACAACATTTTTCCTCAATGCAAAGTTTGATTGAATTAAATGAACTTGACTAGGTTTTATCGAATTTTTTAATTAGGAATCAATCTAAAGATCTTATTATCAAGATTTATAAAGAAGCTAAACATCTGCTATTAGAGTCGATTATGGACTATGAAAATACCTATAACGTATTGCAAAGAATAGTTGTCTACCATTACAACCAATATTTAGCTGATTTGTGGTGACTCATTCACTGTGACAATCAAACATATGATAGATTCCATACAAGCACTTGAAACTGACAGACCTTGCATATATTTCAAAATTCTGATGCTTATTTCTGAGGACTCGAACGGAGAATTGACTTGCCCAAAACATAAATCTAATCTTGAAGAATATTCCTACATGCGAAAAATGCCGGTAGATTGAAAGGAATAAAATCTATAATGTAATATCAATCGCCTTTTGTTCGAATCGTTTTCCTTCTATCTCAGAAAACAACATAAAGAAATTTAAAAAGAAAAATAAGAGTTCGTAGAAAATTCTTAAACTCATAGAGACATTTATTATTTTGTCGGAAATGAGCCAGGTATTATTGAAGCAAGTTGTTTTTCGCTGCTTAGATAGATAGATCCTTACTTGAGATCAGAATCAACCATTTTCTGAAATAGATTAATATCGTATGTTCATTCGAAAGGACAATTTGTGGGAGATGAGTTAATAATATGGTAACCTATGCAAATTCGACGAAAAAGTTCTGACTAAAAGTGCTAAATAAATTTTTCAATGAAGAAACAGTTCTGCCAATTATGATTCACTGTCAATAGAGGAAGAACACAAATAATACTATATCAGAAATTAGGTGTTCATAGGTTATTGTCATCTTTCGCTCATGTTGTTAGTTCTATACTAAAAACAATTGACATTAGAGACTACATACGAAATTTTATTCCAATTCAATATTCAAGCTTAAATTATAATATTAAACATTCAACCTACCTTTATGTTTGACTCCATAGATGACTGATAAAACGATGACTGCTGTAGTAATAATGACCATAATTAGCACAATAAAGATGTATTTGAATTTTGGCGACAAAGTCCGAAATTGTACATTTGGTCTGTCACAAGAAAATATAGGTAACTAGCATAAGTCTCACTATCTTACTTAGTAATTGGTACGATCACTTCGACTTTGTCAAAATTAGTATTGGTTTGTCTTGAACAAATACGATTCATCTGTTGATCCATCACTTGAGATTACTGTTCAAGAAAATAGAAACTATGTATAACTACTATTATTTTCAAATTCCCCATACTAAATTTGCTGTACAGTTATATATTGGTACATGCGAATTCAATGAGGTTGCCTCACTTACCAACAATCTTCTATTCGCACGTTGATTCCTACCTAACTTGTATTTCAAGTTAGAGTGATGCAATACAGATAAGTGTTTCTAGGTGTCAGCTAACGAGAATATAATCTAAAAATCATTATTATTATTGCATACAGAAAATATAATCAAACAATTGATTGATTGATTCTATCATACATTAGTTTTGTTCTAATTAGAGATGAAACCGGTAGATTCAAACGTTTCATCCTACTGTTCTCATAGAGACAAAGGTATCGCAGACAAAAAAAACTTGACAGATGAATAGACTCAGAGGAATTCAGCATGCATATCAAATGATAATCTCGGAATCGACTTTCATAGTCCAAGTTTTCTAGAGCGCAGAGAATCGATCATTTAGGTATGAAATCGATTGACATGTGACTCTATTTTCATAGAAATACGGTTTCAGTACTAATGTTACCTCCTACTGATTTTAATTTAAAGATTAAAACGCTTTATTTGTACAATGATTATCGTTCATTCACATAAATTCGCGGGGGGGGGGGGGGGAGTTAATGGCGTATTAAGGCTTTCTATTTGTATATAAGACCATAATATTGTTGACATTTTAGAGTTTCAGAAAAATTTCGCCTCATTGAATGCTTTACTTTGTACACACTGGACTTAATGTATCACTCTTCATGTCATCACAATTTGCTACTGTCTGAAAGCATAGCTTTTCCAATAGTGAAATGTTCTTCTTTGATTCAAACAAAGTACTCTACACGAAAACATGAACGAGCGTCCATAAGTATTCTGAGAATGTTCTATGTGGTGTTAATATTAGCTAGCTATGCTAACTTCTAGAAAAAGATTCTATATAAACACTTGCAAAAATAACTGTACTCTATATTAATTCATACATTTTTGATTACTCTAAATGAGTTGACTGTGACGATTTCGATATAGAAATGTGCCAGATAGAAATATCTGAATTGCTAGCAGAACATAACGTATCATGGAAACGAGAGCATAAAGAATATACAGATTAAATTTCTGATATTGCCTGGTGAAATTGATATTTTTTTTATAAAAATGATTGGCGAAAACGATTCCTAAAAGTTGAGTTCAATCTGAATTTAACTATTGTACTGATAAAAAGATTCTACAGGAATCTCTTATGTGTACTTTATATGAAAAATATTTATGGAAAATATTTGTGACAACTCTTCTCTATGAAATGAATTTAGAGAAAAAAATAGTCAAGACCTTTTATAGAGAAATGTAGTCTTTTGAACATGTACTACAGTCTTTCTACAACTGACATACTGATGATTGGATATAAAGTCGATAGAAGATAGTACTATTATTTGATTGTTATCGCTATGTTAAGAAAGTTCAGTATTAAATTATTTGATATTTAGATGATCAATGCTCTCAGCTCAAACAAAGTCTGATACTTAATGTATCTACCTAGCTACTCATAATAACTTAACGAAAGCAAGCAAATAAATATTGAAATCGTTCTGATTTTTCAATGTTCCAGGTAAATATTAGGCAGAAATCATTACCATAATACAACAAGACGACTGCATTCTATTGAAAATTTTCTTTATACTTGTAGAATTTTATTCGATTCGATGTAATTTAAATGAGCGAAAATCTTTATTTAGTCCCAATAAACCAAAAAGAATGTAACTTATAATGCTTCCACTTTCAATCATCTTTAATATACTTGATAAACCCAATTTTTTAAATAATTCAGCGTCTCATACTCAAAAAAAATCTATAATATATTTCGTTTTTGAATCAAAATGTGAAGATGACATGAAATATTATGCAGAATAATGGAATGTAGAAAACAATACATGTCATTTTCAAAAATGACTCAATTAATAGAAAGTTGCTTTAATTAGAATTTTTGCGCTTCCAACCACCGTCTTCCTTCATGTCCATCGTGAGAACAGTTTGAAACAAAATATAGAATATAATTAGAAAATTTTTAATCATCGAACAAAAACATAGATATTTACTTTTCCTATACAGTGGAGCAAAAGTAATTTGTTTTCAAATGCTTGGGAATCCTAACATAGTCACTAATCAATTAAATTTCAACTAATGGAAATTCAATTTTTTCATAGACAAAGTCAACATTTTAAGAGCATTGGGAAAACATAATGCATTTCTAATACCATTAAATTTTACTAAAAGTTTGTCAAAATATACATAGAAATTAGAGCTTTTCAGAGTTATTTTTTCCTATAGTTCAGTACTATGTACAGCCTTTCATGCCACATTATATATTGAAAATTTCAAGTATATAACTAGCAAATAGGCTAATTTCTTCTCGGTGATAAAGAAGCCCTGAAAATCGTATTCACAGAAGAAACAGTAACACATTACAGTTTGAATTATCATTAACTTCAAAAAAGAAGGGTATATATGTAGCTGAGAGACTTCTATTAGAAACTAATCCTACCAAAACGCACTTACACCAGTCATGAGACCATCTTTTGAGGTATCCAAATCTAACAGTTTCTTGCATTTCTATCTATAATAGTAGAAATGATTTAGAAGCTCGAATGGTTAAATATGCTCATTACTTTTATTTGTTTTCAAATATGTACAACATATGTATGTCTTACTATTCATTGGGATATGCAGCTTTCGTTCATAACTAGTATTTCTTGAAGATAGATGTGATTGTGGGTCTGCTTTCTCATGCCATTTATACCTATTACTTTAGCTATTATGTTTGTTTTTTATGGAATCTCTTATAAAATAAAATGAATGTAA